GTCGGCCATCTCACTAATCGCCAAAGGGTTGAAACAGGAACGCACACAACAGAGCACCACAGACAAACCACTTAACTCAGACTGACGCCAGCTCACTAACAGTCGCGGGAGACCCCCAGCTAACACCACCTAGTAGCACAACTCGTAACTACAAAGCATGCCCGCGCAACAGGTCGGTTCCGGTTATTTTTGGGTCCCCCTTCATAGTGTACAGCAGGAAACAAAGGAAAAAAAGGCATGTAAATGTAAATTTGTTACACGGTTAATTTTATGATTCAAACAGAAAGAAAAAGGGAACAGTTATTTAATGTTATGCGTCATCCTGGGTGCTAGCCAACAGGATGACTCCTGAGTATGGTGGAACTGTTACGCGTCATCCTGGGTGCTAGCCAACAGGATGACTCCTGAGTATGGTGGAACTGTTACGCGTCATCCTGGGTGCTAGCCAACAGGATGACTCCTGAGTATGGTGGAACTGTTACGCGTCATCCTGGGTGCTAGCCAACAGGATGACTCCTGAGTATGGTGGAACAATGGAATGGGAATGAGGTTGAAGACTGGAGGTCAATATTGATTTTATATAATAATATAATAATTTATGCAAACCTTTGTACTTTTGTTTAGGAAACCACTATGTTACAAAAGAATAAACACTTCTCAACACTTCGACTGAAACAGTTAAAGCACCCATTACCTAATTACAGGCAGTTCAGTGAGACCTCAGCTATGTTGGAGGGGTACAAACACTGCCTGCCAATAGCACAACCATAACTGTTGTACTGCTCACCACCAAAGCTCACATCCCATCAAACAGCCTGCACCAACACACTGCTATTTCATTCAACACTTTATCACCTTAATTTCTGTACTACTATATGTCAGTCACACTGGAACCGTAGTCTGAGGCATGAACTGTCTTCACCTGTTCAAACATTATGGTCATGGGTTCAAATCCCACTTGAGGCATGAATGTTTGTCTGCCTTTATTCTGTGTTTGTGTTGTCCTGTGGCAGTAGCAGACCTGCAGTTGGCTGATCCCCACTCAAGGAGTCCTACTGTCAATATGATTAAGAAAGTGTAAAACAGAGGCCAAGGTTCATCATGGACTGTAAAGGTCATTGAGTAGTAGTAGCAGTGGTGGTAACAGTAGTAGTAACACTATACACAGGCAGAAAACAGATATTTTAAAATGACATAAAGAGTGCCTGAATGGATATATTCTATGTAAAAATTAAAAATTGTCAACCAGAAAAGTGTACTATATCAAATATCATAGGCATGGCCAAATAGAGGAAAAGAATCACTGGCAATAAGCTATCACTAATTAATCTGATAAACTCGATGTATCTCATCTGGTTGTGACTGAGATGAGTGTAAGCATTGCATATTCTCTCAGAATCCTAATCTAAAAGATAAGTCACCATAATCTTTCTCCCACTATCTATATCATATGAGGATTAATCAATGGGAATTTGGACATGTTTGTTTCACTCATACGTCACCTTGGAACAAGGCCGGATGGAATTCAAAGGTTAAACACAAAGACTACACAGTTTTTGTTTTACCTCCATTTTTGCATTTGTCCACCGAGGGATTTCAACAACCATATTGTAGATTTTCTTACTAGCATCAGCATAAATGGGAATGTCATGTAAAGGGGAAATCGGACCAGAAGAATTTCCTGAAATAAAAACTGTGTGTTAACTTTTCTACAGGTACAGGCAATAAACATGCTGCATAACTGGTGGTGGTGGTGGTGGTGGGGGTGGTATTTAGATGACAGCCAGCTTTTCTGCCCTTCTTGCACCAGCACATCACTGCTACCATAATACCTCTGGTATACTGTACTTACAAAGTGTTTTTACAGGCTTCAAGAAATCCCCAGTAATTCAACAGCAACAATTTTCCTTTAATAAGAAACAGAGTTCAGTAGTCACTAGCCAATTCACTGACAACAATCTCACACTTACCTATAGTTTCTTGCTTCTGGAGCCACAAAAACAACACAACTCACTAAAATATTACATGACTTATCACACAATCAGTGAATTGTAGCATATGCCTTGAAAACCTTCAGATGCTCAGATGACAGCATATTTCCCAGCCTTACACAAGCTGGTCTTTAGTTACTTTAAAACCACATAAAAGTCATGACTTAAAATATGCTGGCATAGTCCATTTTGGATCAGTGGATGAAAAAGGGGCTACAGAGTTTATATTGTATTAATTCCGCTCTATGAAATAAATGATACAGGTTCCTTTGGAGAAGGGAGGGTTAAGATGCTGTCAGCAGCTCGACTACTTATTTTTGATATACACAATCTTTATATCACTGTATACTAGTCTTTAATTCAATTTATTGTACTATTAATGTACGATGTACAAAACTCATTAATGACATTGTGTTTTAACTACTGAATTGTTAATTAACAAACTTGTATAAAACTGTTCAAATTGTAAAAGGTTTGCCATTGCTCTTACTACAAAGATTAACTTATTTTATTATACTGTATACGTTTATCAGTATTGTATTACAAATGCGTATGCTACTGGATGACAACTGTAATTCTTAGTTGTGACTGTAACTAGGACGATTTCCACATCCGCATGAGAACGTACTCTCGACCGGTTTCATGGAAGGTGAATAAATGAAATGAAATGAAATAAAATAAAATAAAATGAAACAGCGTCGAATGGTAGGAACAACGAATAACGAATTGGATAGGATTTGGAGGAAACCGGTCGTAGCCTAATTTCGGACGGTATCTCGTCATTTGCCTCGAGCGGCTGCTGATTACACGCGATGTCTGGATTGCCAGCGTCTTGACTGAGCTTTGAACCGAACAAACGCGACAAGCTCTAAGGCTAAGTCAGCCCACTCGCTGAAGACATCAATGGTTAACAAATATTTAAAGCAACTCATTTTATCGCCACTGAATGCCCTGAAGAATGCAAACCCGAAAAAAACTAAAAAAGAAGCACAAACATTTACTAGGGATAAAGCTGGTATCATACAATATGCAATGCAAACCCGAAGGTTACATCAGCGTTTCTTAATCACAACTACCGATCTCTCCAAACACTGATGAACTTCAAATTATAACTCACTGAAATATATTCTGTAGTCCGTTGTATTAGGTGAACCTCTTTCCACAGCTTGATACATTGCTAAACTTGACTGTTTTCTGCAGAAGTAACTACAGCGAGCACCGGGAAACAACCGTGGTGTTAACCGTTTGAAACACGAAATTAGCACGTGCGATTTGGTATGCATTCTGCCATCTGCTGGTAAAAAATGAAGGTCAGTACGTGAGTGAAAGGGGAAAGGGATTGCGGAAGGACAGGTACACGCCCATCCATATAGATAAAAACTATGCAAACAAAGGAAACATCACTGATAACTTATCATTAACGTCTAAATCTTTTTCCGTCTTGAATAGGTTTTATATACCCTCTTAAACTGTATTCTGTACGGAACTGCATCGTACTCCTGCTCAAAGTAGATAGAAAGCCGAAACGAAGTTACCACCGAACTCACAAATACTGGATGGTTCACTAACTTCAGAGTGAAGCCACGCTATGAAATTAACATACAGCAAAGAAGCAGTAAGAAATATCAAACAACTCTTCCCAGATACTGAAATAAAAATGTGTTTATTGTTATTAAATAACTCCACAAATCCTGTACAGGGGCTTTAGCACCCATAGGATATAGAGCTAGTCAAACTTATACAATCTCATACAAAACATAAAAAGACAAGGGGGTTGGTGCAAGGGTGTGAGAAGCGACAGGCAGCCAGTTGTTTGTAAGGCACCTCCGAAGCAGGTTATACTTACGGTTTTTCTATCATCTGCTTAAAAACGTCAGTTTCCTTGTGCGCTAAATCGTACATAATGAGTAAGAAATTAGGTCAGGGTATAGGTCTACACTTGTTCGAAGTTACGTGACACTGTCAATAACAGCATAGTAAGCAGTTTTAGCTCACAAATAAAAAATATTATAGAGGTATCATTATCTTGTTTACTGTTCTCAATCATAGGATATTGTTAAGTGAAGGTTATCTGCAGTAGATAAGACACAAGGAAGATGACTGTACAAACACTATCTACCAACAGAATTCTAACCTTAGATAAAACATCACGTCATCCTGTTTTCAGTGACACTGATTCTCTTCATACCTTCAAGGTCAAGGATTAGTGTGGTCCTGTCTACAATGGAAACATTTTTCATTCAAGTTTACCCAACCTCAGCTGTCCCATCACTCATAAATACTAAACGTTTCTACTTGTAATGTACTTCATTTCAGTTAAATTTATATAAAATGTGTGTACTTTTTTATATTAACTGCTGATAAACTTTGTTCTGATGGACATGAGTGAAGTGATATTGGTTAAACCTCTGTGTGAACTTCAGATCCAATATTGGTTAGACCACGTAGCATCACCCATTTTAGAAATGAATTAAGTTCCACTGCACTACAGGGTACTGGGGTTGAAAAATTATTAACTGCTGTGTTTTGAATTGTTGGATACCCATGTTAATTGGTTAGTTACCTACTTTCCCGATTGAGCTTTTTAAACTGCAGGCTAAGTGTGATGTCATGGAAGCAGCATTGCCCAGCCAATGGCACTGAGTTACATATCTATATTTACTAACCACACCAATAAGTGAAGACTTAACCTTTGCTCCCTCAAATACCATTCATAACACAATTGAATAATTTTGAAAATCAGATATGGAAGTTCTTACTTCATCAGTAGATATAATGTGATTAAATTCAATAACTATAGAAATAATTCATTTCTGATGATATCCTTCTGGGATATCCCTAAGTCAATGTTTCAAAGGAATATGTCGCCTTTATCTTCTGAGTCAAAGGGTAAGCCAAGCAAGAAACCAACATGAAGCAGACAGCAAAAAGAACTCATAATCAATGTCATGAGAACATCAAATCCTACATAATTCATTCCTGTTTATAAAAACATCTTAGACAATACATGTCAAAAGAAAGAGAGAAGAAACAACTCCATACTGAATGCTGATTAGATTTCCATTTACAAAACAAACAATATAAATACTGTTGCTACAGGTTTCAGAGTTACAAACCTAAATTTTGCATCAACAAGCACCATACTGAAAAGTCCTGTCTTTTGATATATAAACAACCTTAGGGATGGAGACAACGTGTTCCTCTGAAATGTCCACTGACTTTCTATGGACTACAGAAGATAGAACTCTTCATAACCACTACTGTGGGAACCTCAAATCAGAGACACCCCACTATTCCACCAGCCTCTGATGACATTCTGAAAAAGTATAGTGATCCATTAGGCTGCTTTCAGACAAGACACACAGAGTCCAACGACTTCAAATACATTAGCGTGAATACTAGTGTTCACACAAGCGTCTCAGTGTCCCACGTCCAAGACACTGTGTTGCAGCTGTGTCTTTCCCCTTCAGTGGCTGAGACACTGACTTGTGGTCTGGCCATTCGAAGTGCATTGAGTTCTATGCTAGCATTCAGACGGGACATACAGAGTCTAGCGTCACTTATGAAATGGCGGATAAACATTCTGATACCTCCATGTGAATGACTGAGGGTAATATCAACATGGGGTTCTGACATCAGAGCCATTAAGTGCGCGTGTTGTGGTGTTGAGTGGCTGTGTCCCAGACACTAATCGCAAGCCACTGTGTGTCTTGTCTGAAAGTGGCCTTATTCATCCTGTTTTGTGGACTACCAGTAATAGTTTATTACATATACATGTACAACCAGATGTACTATATACCTTTCAGAGGTTATCTGAACTTTTCAACCATAAAGCAACTGAAAACTAAAACAGCACAACATGCATCAATCAGTCTGACAAGACTTACTGATGTTACACTACAACTGGCACCATACAGAAAACTTACCAACACAGTTTGAGACTCAGCAGCTACAGTGGATATTTTTGGATTTAAAGTTTTCCATAGTTCAGCATTCAAATCAAATTTTCTCCAAATAATCATAATACTGTGATTTCATTGTAGGTGTAATGTATTATATACATAAAATGCACATCTGAATGTTAAATTCCTGCTCCACCTTTTTTCTGATCTTCAATCATCACATCATCTTCAAATATCCTTAAGTCACTGTGATCAGTGGTGTTTATCTCACAGTGTATAGCAAGCCACTCACCCCCGAATCTCATGCTGGTCATTTCAATTTTTCTCTTGCCTGATTTTCACATGCATACAAAAGAACTGATGCAGCTGTTACTTTATAAAACTTGTGTCCTTTTTTGCTTTATTTAGGAGTTCACTGTGTGGTTCTATACACATACTGAAATTTATCTAGTTTCTTCTGCAGATCATCTATAATTGTATGATATATCACAGTGTACAAAAAACAAACTCCATGGTTTTAGTCTGCAAGTGAACTATATGGACCAAGCGACCACCGCTTGTTGGTGAGTACATAATTAAAAAAATTTAACTTGTTCCATAATTTGACTGTTCATCATAACTTCACTTTTGGAGGACTTTGCCACGTGATAGTGATTTTTCATTATGATGCCTTACAAGTGTGTTTGTAATGATGTTCACAATACTGGATCACCGATTTCAAAGTCAGTTATAAAGTGTGTGCCTCATACTCATTCTATTAAATCCTAAATTGTTTCTGATGCAGTTTCTGTGTTCATGTGGTCTGAATATCTTGCAAAAATATAAGTGCAAGATTTTAAACCTAATGGGATTTGTACTGAACTACAGAGTCAAGTTCTCTCATAATGTCTGTAAAAGAGATAATTTATTCTTGCCATAAACAGTATGCAAAATTTAAAATTCAGGTTTCTACACTTTTGGCAATCTCAGAGGTATCAACCCACTTTTAGTCCACTTTCCTTTCTGAAGAAGAAAATAAAACACTGCTGAGATAACCATGATGTATATTTTCATGCATAAAAGTATGTCTTTTGTGTGCCTTTGCAGAAAAAATTGCATTTTATGAGAAATTAGTGGTCAAAGGTTGCATCAGGTTATATTGAAATCAAAACTACCCTACCTGAATGAGTTATATAATGTGGCATGTAGACCCATTGCTGGGCAAAGACTGAGAGATAAGTAATATACAAGAAGCATTACTGAGTAACGGCTTCACAAAAAACACGTTCCCACGGCAACAACTGAACTACAAAAATGAGGAATGGTTCTTTCCACATAGTCTGTGCTGAGATGTGCAGGACAGTTCGTGAGGGATGAGTCAGTCAGAGAAGTGGAGTGGAGTTAGTTGGTTGGTGAGTTAGTTAACTAGTCAAGAGTTGCTGTATGAGAGGCATGAGGACAGTTCAGGAACCCAGAGGATGGGGAATGTCCACGATTGGAAGCCCTTCCCAGAAGACTGGTGATGACACAGCATACTGAGAAGACTTAAATGTGTGCTCTAGTGAACTGTAAAAGTGTGTGTGAATTAGTGAAATGGTTATAATTACATGTAGTCACAGATCTGTACAAGCAGAATAAATCAGATTACTGATCCAAAACCTGTCTATAGACACACTCTAACACATGACAATATCCATCATAAGAACATTTCATGAGCTCATAAACAAGCCTCATATGAGCTCTGTAGCTTATACAGAACAAAAGTTATAATTTTTAATATAGGTGTGAAAAAGAATCAATTCTTAACAATTTTTGCACCCTTGCTCAATAAAAACTGCAAGACATGGTGCACAGAACTCTCAGAAAGATATTATCTTCTGTGGAGTCTACAGTCTTACCAACGTTCATTGAAATTGGAAGTTAGGTCGAAAATTTCACTTGTCTGTGACAATTTGGCATGAACTGACCATATTGAAATACTGAGACCTCTTACCAGATGGTTCCAAAGACAGAACAGGCTTGAACCTATTCCTAAGAAGGCAGAAGAACATGGATATAATCATAAAATGAATAGTTAATCACAAATTATCAATATGATATACGGGAATGGGAAAACATAACAGCTAGCAGTCATGATTAATAATAAAACAGGTAATAAAGAAAAACCATACACATCATCTGTGGCTGCAAGATACCTACCATAATTCAAACCCTGGCCAGGGCATTGGCTACACACTCCATTTCACCACATGAAAGAAGACTGCTCCCAACTCACCATACAGTAAATCAAATCTCCAGTCACACCTCATTCTGTTCTCAGCATGTTCACTTCCCTGCCATATACTAACTCTTTTACAGCACACTACTAATTTCACCACATGAAAGGAGCTCGTTCCCGTAGAATTTTGACGCCTAACTTTTCCCATTCAACAGGATAGATCCACAATTCCTGTGCAGATTCCAAGCAAGACATGATTGCTGCTCCTTTCCATGCAGTCATTTGAGGATCCATCTCTTTTGGGGTTGTTACGATATCCAATTGTTCTGCAAGTAATGCATGCGTCTTATATTAACAGCCCATAACAGAAAATTCCAAGTTTCAGTTTCCTTTAAATGTGAGAAATAAAACAGCCTAAAATAAATAACACTGCATAGATTATATTATTACCATATACAAAATAGTGGAATACCTAGAGATATTGGGTTTTTGGACTTTATCCATTGTCCTCGTTTTAAGATAACTAAGATCCAGTCATTGAGGCTAGCACTTTCTAAGGGACCCAATAGAATAGGTGTTTTCCTTCACCTGAGGACGGAAACAGATCCAGTTTCCGAAACGTTGTGTTTTTTCTTAGTTATCTTAAAACCAGGACGATGGATAAAGTCTGAAAATCCAATATCTCTGTGTTATACACCATCGTCAGAATCCTATAGTAACTAAGTGGAATACCTGTTCTTCACATGAGATTGTTACTGTGGTAACGGTAGTTTTTACTTATTCTGAAGCTAACTTCCTAATAATTCCCTTTTGATCCATTATCTGTATCTGTTATGACTACTTTCTGTTACTTAGAACAAGTGAAGGATGGTGTAATAAGAGGAAGCAAACAAAATATATAAGACAAAGCTGTCCCTAGAAACAGACTGTATAATACCACTGCAGAGCACTGAAAACGCCACTAACAGTATATAATTTATATGGACAAATATTGGTAGACTCTCTACATTTTAGTCATGTACAGATATTCTTTTACTTTCAAGTAGTAATATTCAAATTTTGTAGACTGTGAAAATGCTGCAGCTTCCTTGACTCCTCGCCAGTTCTGATGCTCTAGAATACTCAAAAATGTAATCATGCATGCCAGCCTTCATGCTTGACAATACTACAACACTACACATTTGCATACACCTTTGTGTGTTACCGACTAATGAAAGATTTCAATTCAGATAGTTACATGTGTCCTCTGACCCTCTTAGGCACAGCTTGTGCATAGTATATAACAATATCCCATAAATTATACAAATATACACTGAACATTTAAAATGTTCTTTAAAACCATGGTCCACGTCAGGCTCAGGCAGCAACACTGTAAATGGGATTGCCAAAGGTTTAACATCAAGTTGTGGATTATTCTTGAATGATAACTAGCTTTGAATCTTGCGCCACAAGCTTTAAAAAAACAAAGTGTTTTTTATTTGTAATTAATTTTGATTCTTGCCTTGTAACCTCAGATACAAAATATAAATCAAAATGTATGTAAATATCTAACCTTGCCGCCATCTATGAGCCAATTGTCTAGAAAATATTTGAATCTCAACATCTCACAACCCTATGGGCCTCCATGGTCTGTTACAGGGATACCTTTACTTTACTTTTTTTTTCCCCCTTTGGCACTACAGCCCCAGTGGGCCTAGGCCTACCTCCATGAACTTCTCCGTTCACTTCGGTTGTTCTAGATCTTACACATTTGGTAGGACTCCTTGGGCAGGTGATCAGCTCGTCACAAGGCCTCTACCTATACACAAACACAGAAAAACGCACACACATAAACTGAACATCCATGCCCTGAGTGGGATTTGAACCCATGATCCTGGTTTCCAAGCGAGCAAAGACAGTACATACCTTAGACCACTTGGCTACCGTGACCGGCTTACTTTTACTTACTTTATGCAAATACATAAAATTAAAATTTTTTAAATTTGCTCAGTGGGGGGTGGAGTCCAGCTGGGTCCACTTAACACAGTGGCCACTGATTGGCCTATTGTACCTGCCCTGGGTAATTATGATAATTGAGAATTTTGTGGAATGAAGATTGGCAGGGGAAACCGAAGTACCCGGAGAAAACCCACCCCAGCACCACTTTGTCCACCACAAATCCCACTTGACCAGACCCAGGATCAAACCCTGGAAGCCAGCAACTAACTGCTTGAGTTATGGCGTGGCCATATAAATACATAACTAGTTGTGATTCTTCCTCTATAACCCCCAGTGCAACAGGTAAGTGAAACTGAAAACTGGAGCAGCTATACACTCACCTGCTCTGTACATGTATGGGATCTGAAGGGAAATTCTGTTTTGTAGCCATGTTCCAATTCCAATGAACTTCATGCCACCTCCAACTACTAGTATACAGCCATACATCTTTCTTTTCAAGTCCTCTGTAGCTGGAAACATTTAACAGACATTCTTACATGACAGCTCTCCAGTTGTTCCGCCAGTTTCAGTATGGACTAAACCCACTGATACTCTTACCATTTGACATAGTGCAGATAAAAATTGCACTTGTCAGGTTACCACTATCCTTTTAGGGCATTCTGTGCATAAAATAAGCATATAATGGGGAGGTAATGTTCTTTCATTTCATCTCCAAATCTATTCTACAGTATATATGAGACAAACACCGTCTTAAGTGTAACAATTTAATTGTAGTTCTTTTTTCTTTCCCTCCTCCACACTACATGTTTCGGCCCTAAATGGCCATCATCAGGTGTGTATTCTTACGTAGCTGTTACACTGCCTGTTAAAATTTAAAATCACCAGTCTTTCTAATTGTATAAAATCTTTGTTAACCTACACGCGTTAATTTGATTTCTAAATTTAGCACTTTTTTAAAACTTTAATTCAAGTTAAAATGTCTATAAGATTTTTGTTCTTTTTCTTTTTCAAATTTTGAAATTAAAATTTCTCAGGGTACATGCCCTATGTCTATAGTGCTGCAGCGGCCACTTCTTGTTTAACGCTGTTCAGGTATTGTTCTGTGTAGGCTCTCTCTGTGTGTGTCGCTGCTTATCTTTAATACGTGTGCTGTCTGGTGTATTGTGTACTGTGTGTCTTATAGACATTTTAACTTGAATTAAAGTTTTAAAAAAGTGCTAAATTTAGAAATCAAATTAACGCGTGTAGGTTAACAAAGATTTTATACAATTAGAAAGACTGGTGATTTTAAATTTTAACAGGCAGTGTAACAGCTACGTAAGAATACACACCTGATGATGGCCATTTAGGGCCGAAACATGTAGTGTGGAGGAGGGAAAGAAAAAAGAACTACAATTAAATTGTTACACTTAAGACGGTGTTTGTCTTATATATATTGTGTGAGTGTAACAGGATGCTCAAATATAATACTATTCTACAGATCTGAAGCAAATGTGCTATTAGGTGAGTATATAACAATAATACTCTGGCCAGTTTTATTTTGGTTTATGTCAATCTAATCTAACCCCTAATTAGCACAAAAATCAAAACTAAACTTTATCATATTTTTAAAAATTTGTTCATCATACAAAAATTAGTAAATTACATGAATACAGAACGCAATAAAATCTGTAATTTTTATTTGTTTTTTTTGTGGGTATTTAATTAACTATGAGGAAATAATTTTTGAATATCTATACTGATGATCGGCTTTGTGAAAAACAGATTTATATCAGCAATGTGTAAGTATCAACATCAAAGAGGGTTCAAAATTGGACAGATTACATAATCTATACTCTAGATTTGAGTACCAGTCTCCACTCTTTTTTTACATGTTCCTTATTTCCATAATCTGCAGTATTAAATAACCAGATATTATGACATTTTATCGCACATAAGACACTGAGTTACCTGTTACACTGCTTAAAATGTGTAAGATTATGTAAAGGCATTAAAAGACATTTTGGTAATAATTCTCAATAAGAAACATGTCATTCAGTACCTCAACATGAGTTTAGTTTGACACAAATACAAAGAATGCTCACAGTTGAGTGGCAACAAAAACATATGTCCAATGATTAACAGAAATTAACTACACATTTTCTTGTGGTGATAGTTCATGACAGACTGTTTACTTCATGCATAACTCACTGTGTTCTGACCACCTATCCAACTGTTTGGACAAAATGGCAGAAAATATCTGGTGAACTGTTCTGTGTGCTTAAGTGATAATTATGCGTAGTGTCAGTTACCTCAGAGTGGATGGGTGGAATTTCATATGGACTCTGTATTATTAATGTGGTACTAGCCTTACATGTATGCACATATGTACCATATGAAGTTTTCTATTATGGCATCTCAAGAGCTTTCAAGGTAGAAAAGTGATTCTTGGAAACATATTTCTAAATTATGCACAGATTATGCAGCTGCTATTAAAATTTCTAACCATTCATGGATTCAAGCATAGGAGCTTCCAAAGTTTGATATTTATCTGCCAGGGAATATCGTGAAAGGTAAAACAAAAATGGCCATTCAAAATAAGGTGGTCAGAATGCAAAATGACTTCTCCATTATTGAGAAGAAATTCTGATGAGGTATGTAACAAGAAGTGGGAAAAGATACAATTTTCCATCAGTGTGGGCCTTTAAAAGCAAGATTTAACAATGAAGAATGTTTTATAGGCTGTGTTCTGTGAGTAAATGCTTAATGTTCCAATACAGGCACAAATTCTGTTTCTTTTCATCGTTGTACATTACTTACGACATCTGTCAATGCTTTGCAGCACAGCTTGATCTAGTCCTAGTGCTTGCTCTGGCCCAAGCACAAATTCCCTGGTTTCACCATCTCTGCCACCAGACGGAACAGTGGAATCAATAGCATCAACTACAATATCCTCTTCTCCAGGCCCCACTCCTCCGCTACAGTCTAGACCAGGAGCCAGACCATCCAGGTCAGCACCAGCTAGGCCACCTGCCAGAGGTTCCAATGATTCTTTCATACCACGGCGCTGCAGTATAATGTAGAGTGGCTGATGTTAAACTCACACGCCTTCATTGAAACATTACTTTTACGCAATGGTATTAGCTTAACTATGTCTATCATGCACGTGAAACGCCATCTCTTACTCTAAGGGAAGAATATAAATTACAGGCATCTGGAAACATTTGAATATAAGGATGAAATAAGTGAATAAATTTAGGATATTATGGGATTTGAAGTTCTCATGGCAGTGAAAGTTTAGTTTGTGACCTTCTGGATTTTGAAACCATGTAGTCTTGTAGATGGTTATGAATGTTTCAAAGGAATATGCTCTAATTACCTGAAGATTAACTACTTATAAGACTTGTTGGTATCCCAACCCTGAAGACCATAATTGATCTAAATTTAGGATATTACATAACAAGAAACTTTAGGATTTTATACTGACCAACTGACAGCTACGACCGTGAAATCTATGAGACTCAGATGGACTGGACATATAGCTAGGAGGAAAGAGAAGAGGAATGTATACAAAATTTGGAGACAAAAAAATTAAAAAAAAAAAAACAAAAAAACATCACTTTGGAAGGTTGAGGAGAGGGGAGGATAACAGTAAGATGGGTCTCAATGAAACAGGATGTGGGGTGGATGGATGGAATGGGTATTAATGGCATTGAACCTTCATGTTCTGCCATCAGAATACCACAGTAGTTAACTTACCATGAAATCTGATAATCTAGGTTCCAGAGAAAACAACATCTGCATGGATGCTTCACACTGCATGTTTTGATCTTACGAATAAATCAACTACCACAGTTTTGAAAAAAAAAATGACTACTTGAGCTTCTTTTATAAGAGGTCAGTCAATGGCATGTTAAATACAGTGAAACCCCTATTTAAGGTTTCTTTGGGGAGAAGTGGATTTGAACAACAAACTCAGGAAAATCTTGAACACAGAACATTTAAACACTGATATTGCTCAGATGGGATTACTGAACATTAAATGCAGGAAAATTTTAGAGTATGGAAAATTAAATATGGATTCCACTGTATTTATAACCATACACAGTCCATCTGCATACACTTATATGGGATTATTTAATCGCTGTTTTGATGTAACTGTGCACCATCTTTGAGTGAGAACCTTATGTCATCATATCACATATACGAAGGGGGACCCAAAAATAACCGGAAACGACCTGTTGCGCGCGCATGCTTTGTAGTTACGAGTTGTGCTGCTAGGTGGTGTTAGCTGGGGGTCTCCCGCGACTGTTAGTGAGCTGGCGTCAGTCTGAGTTAAGTGGTTTGTCTGTGGTGCTCTGTTGTGTGCGTTCCTGTTTCAACCCTTTGGCGATTAGTGAGATGGCCGACCAGAAGGAACAAAGAGTGTGCGTGAAATTTTGCTTTCTGTTAGGGAAAACTGCACTTCACTCTTCAAGTCGCGGCAAACATTCACGCGGTTTTCTCTTTGGTCATCTCCGAGCAAGCGAGGAACAAATTTTGCAGACACCCGTCTCATGTGCAAACCTTTGGTTAAAATTCGCTGGACCGTGCTCCATGAGATGTTCGTTTCCTCAGAAAGTTGGTCAATGGTCTTTCGACGATCTTCATCAATTGCACGTTTGATTTTGGCAATGTTTTCGTCATTTCTTCCTGTCGAAGGACGCCCGGGGCGTGGCATGTCTTCTGTTGACATGTTGCCAGATTTGAAACGGGAAAACCACTCGTAGACCTGTGATTTCCCCAAAGCATCATCATTAAAGGCTTGCCGAAGCATCCCAACAGTCTCGGCTGCAGTTTTCCCTAACAGAAAGCAAAATTTCACGCACACTCTTTGTTCCTTCTGGTCGGCCATCTCACTAATCGCCAAAGGGTTGAAACAGGAACGCACACAACAGAGCATCACAGACAAACCACTTAACTCAGACTGACGCCAGCTCACTGACAGTCGCGGGAGACCCCCAGCTAACACCACCTAGCAGCACAACTCGTAACTACAAAGCATGCGCGCGCAACAGGTCGTTTCCGGTTATTTTTGGGTCCCCCCTCGTACATATATATATGGTGATGTAAGATTCAAAGATTTCATGGTGCATAAATATGCTAAAGTCTTCTAAGGCAATCAGCTATGTCAATGTTGAGCTAAAGACAAATGTTTCAGAGATATGTCCTGCTGGTCGAGAAAGTAAAGTAAAAGTAAGTAAAGCTATCCCTGTACCAGGCCATGAAGGCCCATAGGGTTGTGAGACATTGAGGGTCCCACATTATCTAGACAATCAGCTCAAAGATGGCAGTAAGGTTGTCAGCCTTATGCGCCAGCTGCACTTTACTCCCCAGGAAAATTATTTGTTGAGAAACACTGATATAAACTACAAACCAACCATACAGGTGGCATATTGAAAGAGTCAGAGTAACTGATTTGTCATATTATGACAAGTAATTAGAATTTCTTCGTGCAAAATAACACCAGTTACGTTCTTCCAAGCCTGCATCCAATTCAGCAGCATGAAGGATCATTCCTAAGACATGAGCACTTCACATGATGGACTTGGCTCCTCCACATATAGGTGAGAATAACAACTGCAGTGATAATGTCGGTTCCAACTATGGTGGAGGTGACATTGCCCACATTTCTGGAATTTCAAGCCTCAATTTGTGTACAGAAAAATCAGTACCCAGATCCAACCAGAATTAAACTTGGAATTCTCTGAATAGCAGTCTGCTTTTACCAGTTCTCACGGTCTCTTCGGTTGCGGATTTCTTATATTTTTTCCTTCTACCCTGAAGATGGAGGCGATATGTTCCTCCGAAATGTCGGTTAACACCACATATACATGATGCCAAATCCCAGAAGACTGCTTTCTTCATAGAGAGAAGGTAGCTTTCACATTAATTCCAAATTGTTGTCTACAAATTCTAAAATCTATGTAAACTGAAAAATCTGACTACACCACAACTTACACTTGTTTCTCGCAGATAATTCTCATCATGAGGATCTTCAGGATCTCCACTTGCCCTCTGCTGGACATGAACTAACTTTGATCCTGTCACTCCAAAAAGTTCAGGCTGGAACAAGCTCAATGGTGCAACAATGCTCTCATCTCCAACCTGAACGAACACCAATACAATCTTAATTTTCACAGGAAAGTGAAATATCATTATTACATATGATTAATAACCTTGCGAATGTTTTTACTTTAAACTAGATCTACTTAGTAAGCAATGAAACACAAACACCGAAAATAGTGAAACTTAATAAATAGAATTTTTAATTGACAGATGTCAAGTAAGAATTTTACTGTATATCGCATTATCACTTAAAAAACTGCATATGCAATTCACGATATTAAGCCTGTATTATTTTTCAACAGTACCTGTAGGCATGGAGGCTTGGAAAAATATATGAAGAGGCTTGTGAAGAAAAACTGTCCTAGTTGAGATCTGAACTAAAAAATATGCAAATTCAAAGCTACTGATTAAATAAAGAAACATCACATACACTTAAAATACTTATAAAGCAATTAGAAATATGGGAACAGAACTAAATTCAAAATCCATAATAACTGGCAATCCAAAAATCTACTATAGGATTCATATAAATTTTGGATGGTTGCATTAATCTGAGATATCCGATTATCAGGCAGATTCAAGAACAAATGGTATATATGTACATACTAAGATATGGAACATCTTGTCTCGAGAGGAAATTAAACTTAAATCACCTTGATGAATACCATCATTTCATCTCTTACAATATATCAAAACAAATAACAATAATTTCTCACTTTCCTGTCATATAAATTGTTAACAATAAAATTCCACTGTACTAACAATTCATTTACCTGCAAAGTAAACTTCAGAGTTGGAGTTTTTGGTTGCCGAACCACAAAGGTCTTTTCCTGAGATCCGCAGATGTCCTAGAAAGAATACATTCATTATATTGTACAATTTCTTTTAACTTTAACAATCTCTTGAAACTGAGCACACAGTGAAACTCACCAAATTAACATGGCAGAAGCTTTCCTTTAGTGACTTCAGCAACATGGCATCAAGCTTATTGTCTGGATCACATGTCTTATAAGGAAATGCACATTTCTGAAGCAGCCAGTAGAAAGTCTGTGTGATGTCACCACCACCATATTCCATACGCACCTGGAACCATATGTTTCTTTTATAGAATCATGGGAATTTCTTCTCACTGTTTCTGAATTCGGTCTTTGACTTCTGGTTGCCGTAGGCTGGATTCTCATTTACAGTATTCTGTATTTCCCAGAGTGCTCAATCAAAACATAATTATTTGTACTGACTGAAATTAATTAACTTCAGTAAGCTTCGCCCTTTACTGCTCCCATAAATTAAAATATAACTATGTCTCTGCATACAATTTAACCTTTACCAGCTGTACGTTACATTCTCATGATGGTGCAGTCCGCCTAGCCAATTGTGAAGTCCATGTTATTATTTTCAACAGAAAAAATGAGTCTTGAGAACGTAATAAGCAGGAAGAATATGATGGAAGTCACAGAGCATCCCCAATTCTTGTACAAGTATCATCTATGGAAAAACTAAGCAAAACTTGTAAGACACATGTACAATACTGTAACAGATTTGATCGTTGCATTGCCAGGCAACTGCTCTGTACGCACGGTCCAACACGCAACAGAGTAAGCTGTGTTTTCTGTGGATATGATGGACATGCCAATAGGCTGGCTGGATAGCAATCACGTAATACGTGTTTACCGTAGGTCCATATCTGTTCCGCGGCTATATAACGAGAGTTGAGGTGTAAGTTCAGAGCAAATTGGAACTAGGAGTACAGAAGAGTACAAGAGGTCAGCCTGTGAAAATTTAACATGTGTTTACTGTAGGTCCATGTCCGTTCCGAGGCCATATAATGAGAGCCGTGAGCTGTAAGTTCGGAGCAAATTGGAACTAGGTGTAAAGAAGAGTACAAGAGGTCACCCTATGAGGATTTAACATATAATTTGAGACTTTACATGCACAGTGGTACAGTGATATTGGGAGTGTGATTTAGTGAGACTTTTATAGTTCCCATGTTATAAATCCGTGAGGACTCGTGCAGATAGACTGAGAAGATTAATGTGGCATGATTGTAAATTGTGTAAATCAGCAATAGTGTAATAATTAATTTTAGTTATGGCATCTAATCTTATTTTTGTTTCCAATAAGCAAAAACTCTGGAAAGCTGAAAGAAGAAATGCATAACAAATTTTGGATGGAAAATTTCAAAGAAACCACCTGTGAAGTCAATGCATAGATGACAGAGTAATATTTAAATGGAATTCTGAGGATATGTGGTTAAGTTGTGATGAAGAGAAGAGATCAGGGCAAGTCCAATGTTGAGCTTTTATCATGATGATGATGAACCAAGTTCTCTGAAGCACAAAATTTCTTGAGCCAAACAACTATTGTCCACTCAAAAATGACCATATTACAGACTTCTTGTTACTTCAACTCAGAAAGCAATTACCCTAGCAATTTTTTTTAACAACAGTACTATTATTTATGGTTTCAATAACATATTCTTACCCTTGTGTTCCGATGTGAAATGCCATCTTCAACACAGGACACTGATGTCTTTTGATCGCCAACATCCACCACACAGGCATACCCCAGACCAGCTCCAAACGTAGCAGCTACATGATCCTGCAGTATAGTAGAGTGAAAGTGTGACATAAGACAGTCATTAAAGAACATTAATGGAATGGCTGTTGAAATATTAACAGAAGATTAAACTGATCAAATTTTGATTTACTTAATGCCTTTTCAACTGCATAAGTTACGTAGCACTGAAGGATAAAATAATATGCAGAGTGCTAACTAATAAACTGCAAGTTTCAGAACAGAGGTGTAATATGTGAATCACGAAGTTCTCTCTCATATAACCTCATCATTATGATAAGTTTTACAGTATATGCTGCTTTTGTAAATCAGAATGTCATTGCCTTTTAAAATTTTCTTACAGAACACACTCATGAAAGCACAGAGCACATGAACAGTACATAGATAATGCAGCATATAGCTTTTCTGATGATTACTGTATTTAGCATTGCTTTTTGTTCAGGTCCCACTGATGTATGATAACTTTCAACATTACTGTCCAATGTTATGCAAAATGTGTAAAGAAATTACTAAAAAATAATGTGTCTTCAATAAATACATCTGACATACCATTACAGAGAGCTTGAAATTGCACACACAGACACACATACACACTTGTATATATATGCATATAAATTTATGTACAAGGCTACCAGTATTAATAAGATAAATAAAATTTTCATCATAACAAAATATGCATGCAGAAATGAACAAAGGTCTAACATACCAAGAGTCCAACTGATCTGTAAGACACAATCACAATTTTCAAATATATTTGTACCAAAAGGAGAAATACCTCTGACACAGTACTCTGTGGTTCAAGATGTATTTATAAATTTTTCTGCAAAAGCTGCATAAACAAACACAAAATGGAAAAATAATGTGAGTACATTTATTTACCAATTTCACTGCAGAAGCACTCATTAAATAATTTTTATATGATGATTGTACATAACAAGTTGTAATGCAAATTTCATCTTTGTCCTGACTCCATGCAATATTATATCTGTACTACTTCTCTGATGTCACCAGTAACGTTGCATGCACAATTAATGAACATAATAACAATTATAAAGGGGGACAAAGTTGCTCACGTCCGTGACATTCTTTGAGTCATATGTGTCCCTTGTGTAGTGCAAAATGTGCAACAAACCTGGCAAAGCTTCCCAAAAGAAAATTGGGAAGCAAGAAGCAAAATGAGTTAAATGATCCAAAATGCAGCCATCGGCAAGCAAGCAACCAACCAACCAACAATCATAAATTAAATTATACATCCTACAAATGCACAGTCCAAGCAAAAGCTGCATATTTTTAGGACACAAAATTTCATGACCCTACATTAAGTGGTACCAGGAACGGCATGGTAATTATTCCAAGTTTCGTAAAAATCTATTGGTCAAATGTTATTAGTGAGAAAGAAATACACACACATGATGATACCAAATGTCTGACTTTCCTTACAATACAAGAAAGTATGCTAAAAATGAGAGTTTGGTATAAATGGGGCTGAAAATTCTACAAAAGATGAAAGATGCACTGTGTGTTTGCAGCTATGGCACAGACTTTCATTGTGTGTGAAAATTCACTGCAGGAAGATGCTGGGCTTTTAAGACAACATAATACGAATGATATCCGGAAAGTAAAGATACAAAGCCCAGAAAATATTTGTAAAGTATTTTCTTTTATTATCTTGCAGCAATTTTACAACACATCTTTATTATCTTTTCAACATAGTCACTATGGATTGCAAGGCAATTAGTGAGCCTGGGAACGAGTTTTTTTATTCCAGCATTGTAGAAAACTCCCACTTGCTCTCTTAGGAATGGAGAACAGTTCTTGACACTTCTCGACATTGTTGATGGAGTTCATTGATGGTTAAACGTCCGTCAGCAGGAATGTTTTCAACAAATTTTGGATGATTTCATCAGAGACATCAGATGGTCTTCCACGCCTTATTTCATCATGAACATCACTTCTTCCCACTTCAAATTCAAGACCATTTTGCCATGTTCTGCCTGTTCAAAACATCTTCACCATAAAGAGAAACAGGTTGGCGATGAATTTCAGCAGCAGTTTTCCTTTTGTATGAAGAAATCGAATTACTGCACGAACCTTACATTTGGTGGGATTTTGAATTGACACAGCCATTTTAAACACACACTGCGAGCACAACATTGCCATAACTGTAGCTGGTGAACTCAGCCCTGTTATGCGTCCCTATCTCACATGGCATTGCCATTTCTGGGGGGAATCCCTTGCATTTTTACTACACTTGTATGTTTACTTTCTGGATATCCCTCATGTATAACAAGCAGATTCTGTAATAAGGACTTTTAAGCAAATGAAAGAGCCTTAATATTTACAACAGATTTCAACAAAATTTCACTCAAACAATTTCACAATAACAAATTGTGCAGACTGATTAAACTTATCTTACATCAGGTGGTGTATCCTATTTATGTAAACAGTTAATAAAACTTCTTTCTGTTTCACACAAAGCAGGCTGCTTATTGTAAGATTTGAGGTTTTCACAGTGGTGACTATGAAGAATGCAATTTTCTAGGATGTGGTGCCATGTAGATATTGCGTTAACTGACGTTTCAGAGAAATGTATCGCCTCCATCTTCAGGGTATAAGAAATCCACGAATGATGAACCAGCATGAGCAGGTGACTGCAGCCACGTTCCTCCAGAACATCAGTTAACATAATATCCAGACAGCGCCACATCCCAGAAGATTGCATTCTTCAGGCTGGTTATTATTTCACAACACATCTTTTTAGCTACTAGAGGTTAAAAAGGTATATTTTGAAATAATAACCAATCTGCTTTCTGTGTCAGAGGAAAATGAACTTTGCAGCATGTACAAGAGAATGTTTTACTGAGGCGAGTTCATTAACCATTGTTATGTGTGACTGTACATTGTTTAACACCTGGTTGTTACTGTTGTTTTATATGGTGATATAAATGGGAACCAATGTACCACAGTGGTATATAAGGGAACTAGTGTATTAATTAAGGAAATTCATTATCGATATATAAGGACATGAACAGGATGTAACAAGATGATATGCTAAATACTGTAACCTGGCTTTCAATTTTGTTATTTACAGCATCTGTATTTTGGACTACAAAGCAGAGACAACTGTCGACACTTCTGCTTCATAGATCTACTATATCCAGACAAGGTGGTAAACATCGGTTAAGTCCGAGACTAAGACAAGGTCCAAATGGACTATCATGTGGTAAACAACAGAATCTTCTAGAAGCTTCTTGGCTGTTGTAATAAGTGAAACTAATGGAAGCTTCCAGAAGGTTATGCCCTCACTGACCAGTATATGTGGGTCAATAAAAAAGTTACCAAAATTTGAATTTTGCACGCGAATGGTTATGAGTACATCGAAATACCGCTAGGTGTCTCCTCACACATCCTTCTTGAATCAGTGTGGCAAGTGGCGTCGAGTTGAGTGGTTGGGTTTATTGTTGGTGAACGTATTTCCATCGTTGTGTTTCCGCGAGTTTGCGGTTTTGCGATGGCTGACCTGAGAACAGCGTGTCTGTATAAAGTTTTGTTTCAAACTTCGGAAAACCGCTGTAGAAACACAGCAAATGTTGAAGCAACCTTTTTGTGAAAACAGTTTAGGCCAGACACAAACTTACAACTGGTATAAGCGTTTTAAAAATGGCCAAACACTGACTGATGATGACGATCGTTCGGGACGGCCGTCAACGGGCAAAACGCCAGAAAATGTCGCGAAGGTTAGGAATCTGATTCTGCAAGATCGTAGACTGACCATCCAAGACCTCTGTAACACCTTGAGACTAAGTTATGGTACATGTCAACGAATTTTGTCAGAGGAACTGAACATGAGGAGGATTGCGGTGAAGTTTGTGCTATGACTGCTGCAAAATGAACAGAAGCAGCATTGCTTGGAAG